GTAACCTTGGTCTACGTCCTCTACCATTTTTATTGCTACCTCTTCCACCTCGTTTTCCCCGATGCGAATGAGTTACTTCGGTTAAATCATTATTTATTCCAGCAAGTGAACGCGTTCGCGGAGTTACTCCACGACCGCAAGGCTTTTTTACTCCTCCACCACGCGATGTTCGGCTGACGGTGCTAGAATTATCACTCCGCTCTCTTCTGAAAGATCATTTTTTCATTACCTTTCCATTTTTTTTCCTAAAGAATATTACATTCTATATTCGCCTTAAATCTTAATTTAAAATTAACTAGTTGAGACGATTTAAAACTCTAACTTGGAACTGAAGCGCAGTTCATCAGCTGTATCGCCAGTATTATTAAACTCGGGAAATGAACCGGGAGAAGCTCTACAGGAAGATACAGGTCCACTTAATGCGGTAGATCCAGATGGCGACATTGATGGAACTTGCCCTATAACTTCAGTTAATATTAGCATCCAATTTTGGTATGGAAATATTCCATTAACAAACCTAACTCATTACATTTCGTCTTACTATTATATATTTAACTTAGAAATACTGCTATTAAAGAGAATATCTTCAAAGATTTTGTGACACGACTTTAATACTACTTCGATAATAGCATAAAACAGTTAGTCTGGTAGCAATTTTGCATTATGCACTGCAGAAATCAATTCCAACTGTAAACTACTACCTGTAGATTGATGAATGTTGAAAAAGTCGCCAAAAGTATCCAATTGAGATAATGACATCAAAGGGCTGCTTCTGTTAGGTGAATCCATGCAATATGGATTGTCAAGCGGAATGCTACGCGATGCTTCATCGTGAGTGGAAATGGAAGTTGGTGATGCCGCAACAGAACTATTCCCAGCTGATATCATCATTGCATCTGCGACCAACGGCGAATTACGGCATGTTGGACAAACATATTCGGTTTCTATCGTATTTGCATTTAATGAGTCGGAGTCACAATCCGAATGCGTAAACCTGTAAGAATAATCCATCTCCTGATATTCGTATTTTATATAGAGCTGCTTCAGCAGCAATTAGATAGTAACAAATCATTGAATCATCTGAAAATATTTTCTGAAAACGGCAAAAGTGCAACACGATCATACCTTAACTCTTTCCGTCAGATTTTGATGTTACAACTAAAGAGGAAATGAAGATACTCACTTTCGGCATGAACTGCACGACCGAACGTTGCTAGCTGATATAATCGGGCGAGTACAGAGTGCGCAAGTAAGACTTGACGAGTTCATGCGAATAATGCATGCCAATTAGTGCCCCACCATTAAATAAATAATAACCCTAAAATGAGTTCGTCACCCTAGTCCGATGAGGTGAACCACATATATACTCGGGAACACAAAAAATAAACAAAATCCTACAGTACGGCTTAAACTATTGCTGACATTCTCTTAAACCATTACCTACTTTCGCTGCTATTCTGAACACTTGTCTCCACAACATTTTTGTTAGAAACAAAAGCTTGTAAGAGAGCAGATAACTGACAATAATCATAATAGAGTAGTAACACTTCAAAAATAAAATACTTGATATCAACTGTTTTGTCCTTAACAAAATTCTTCTCTAGGAGAAATTTTGTCAAAGTCAATAAAACCTTTATTCAAGAAATTTCATACAAAATAAGTGTTTAAAAAGTGCACATTTATTAGCCTCTAAATATATTTGGAAAGAGTACAATGGAAAAAGTTCAATCACAGATTTTCAGCAGCAGAAATGCTTTTCAACTATGATAGAAAAGTGTCTTGACAGGTCACCAGAAAAAAATGAGAAAAGTCAAAATGAGATCATTTCCAAAGTTTCTTCAATGACATATTCTTATCCGAATCTTTCTGCATTACCTAAAAAATATCTTATGAAAGGTGTGAAGTTAAATTTAATTCAAAAAACAAAAAAACAAAACAAAACAAAAGCATGCCAATCGATTAAGTATAAGTTTTACCTTGCCAACAGCCATTTCAAAATCTTCTTGCGTCACATGAATGCGACGTTCCCGCAAAGCAAACATGCCAGCTTCGGTGCAAACTGCTTTGACCTTAAAAGTATAATAATTTTTGAGAAACTAGTATAATTCCAGAAATGATTCAATCAAAAATAAGTTTACTTGATTTTAATTCGACCTGAGGAAATAACTAACTTCAGCACCGCTTGCACCAGGTATAGCTTCTGCTATTTTCCTCATGTTTATGCCTCGCATAAGATTCATTTTCCGTGAGTGAATTTTTAGTATATCTGCACGCGCTTTCTCATCAGGTGCAGGGAATTCTATTTTTCTGTCGATTCTTCCTAAATAAAAACTGAAAATTAGTAAGAACGTACACAGTTGCATGTAACAGATTGGAAATAATGCATATTTCATATAAATAAAGGAAAAGAAAATAGTGAATGAAAGAACCTGGTCTCAGAAGTGCAGGATCAAGAATATCAATACGATTTGTTGCCATAATCACTTTGATATTCTTGGTAGCCTCAAAACCATCAAGTTGATTCAACAGCTCTAACATTGTACGTTGCACTTCTGAGTCACCTGTTGAAAAAAAAATTCAAATGCAAAGATAATAATATGAAATATCTATTAATCAATCTCTCAAAACAAAGACTTACCACCACTGCTACCTTCAACACGAGATGAACCAATAGAGTCTATTTCGTCCATAAAAATTATCGACGGTGCATGCTCACGGGCCATTACGAACAATTCACGAACCATACGAGCACCTTCTCCAATAAACTTTTGCACCAACTCAGAGCCTGATACTCGAATAAATGTACATTCCGTATGATGAGCCACAGCGCGGGCAAGTAATGTTTTACCTGTTCCAGGAGGACCATATAACAGGACTCCCTGAAAACATCAGTTCTACTACATTGATTTTTAAATGTTTTATGTATCAAAATGATTAATAGCGGAACCTATACATGCAGTCGACTAACTTATGAACGTACACAAAAAATATAAGTTTGCGAAACAATAAAAAAAAATAATAAAAAAAAGAAACAAAAATGTCATCGTCTCCCATTTTATAGTTTTTATAGTTTACAGTGAACAAACCTTCGGCTGGGCAATTCCCAATGCATCAAAAAGTTCCGGGTGTTTTACAGGTAATTCGATCACTTCCTTTATCTCCTTTATTTGCTTATCTAAACCACCAATCATTTCGTACGTTGAGTCGGGAACTTTTTCTACCATCATGAGAGAAACCAATGGGTCAATCTGTCGAAAAAGTATCAAAAGATGGAATCAAGCTAGCACTAATTTACAAATTGTTGTTAAAACCTGCACAAAAAATAAGATTAATAAAATTACGTTAAAACGGTACAGTAAAAAATGAACACCTTTCCAAAACAGCACTCCCTTCAAAATAATCTATATCCAGGTCACACAAAGTTAAAACTATAAAAGGTAAAGACAATATGTAGATTAAGCAGTAACATCCCGAGAGTTACCCATTTTCTTTCGAAACACCGAAAATCTGCAACCATTACATACTCTTGGGCTAGAAGAAAGCATGCGTTTACATGAATAAACATGCAAATGCAAGAATGATGCCCATTTCTGCGATCGAACAATATCATTTATAAATTCTGTGAAGAAAGTAACCTTATTTGGAAGTACTTTATGTAGAGCATAGCTATCAGCTCTAAGAGCAACACGACATCCTGATGTGATACTGCTTATATCAATACCTTTATCCAAATCAACAACATATTTTCCCTCAGGATGAACCTGAAACAGCATATTTAAGAAAATAAAATGCTAATGAATATATCTGCCAATATGAAATTTTAAAAACAAGACAAAAACATATTTTTAAAAAACTGTAAATCAAAAGATATCAAACTAAACAAACCTTAACAAGTACTTTCTTTTTATCCATTGCTTTCGAGACTTCACCAACATAAGATCCTTGCTCATGCAATTGTTGCAGTTCCTCCTTTAACATGCGAACCTGAAAGGACACTAGTTTCAAATAAAATCAATTTATAGAATAATAACAACTCTACGAAACTACACGTACCTTTGTATTCAGTTCATTTCGCTGTGCATGAAGTCGTCGCAAATTCTGGGTTTTCTCCGCAACTCGTTGCTAAAATCAAATTTCAAAACTTATACTCATATAACTCACTAATACTTACTACAGCACTTTATGCTTATTGTACTTATTTTAATCTTCGCTCAGTAAACCTCTGAAAGCTTTAACTGAATGTAACCCTCACCTGCATATCTTCGATTTTTGTTTTGTAATAGCGTTTCAAGCTCTGTTCTTCGCCACTTTTACTCGCTACACCTGTAGATATCAATCCAGCCATCGGTGGTGCCATATTTTCCCCGTTAATGTTGCAATTATAATTAGCTGAAACTGATGAATTAACTCAATGGACTGAATATAAAGATGTTGCAGAACATAAAAGCAAAAGAAGCATTAACGGGTCATGCATCTTTAAAACAAAGCGGTACATATTATGACCGTTTCATAATCAAAAAACCTAAAGAAAAAGGCAGTCTCGCATCGCGGACCCACCAGATATCTCAGATTCCCCGGAACCCATCCAACGCATCTAACCACGAGTATAAATTGTATCGCTCATCGAATAATAAAATGAGCAAAGTTCGGATACGATGATCCGGCATACGATTGTCATGGACTGGCAACAGGGATGGGTGACTCCGTGTGTTTGCGTCTACGTGCGTGCGTGTGTGTGTGAGTGTGTACGTATATCTGTGTGTGTGTACCTGTGTCTGTTTGTGTGTGTGTTTAGACATTTGCATGTGTTTGGACGTTTGCACATATATGATGGAGGTAAAGTGATGCATCTATGGTATTTTAATGAAACTGTGAATTTTGATGATTTTTTAAAATTTCAGGAATAGCAATTATCTTAGGCACTTCATAACTTCTAGTTTGTATTGTGTCGGACAAGTTCTGCGGAACTTCCTATGGGTTTCGGGTACTAAATATTGGTAATGCCGGCTGCGTCAATAGGTAAACCGGGTAGCTTGAAGGATCCCGCTGTTGCTTCATTATTCTGTATAAAAGATCCCGAACAACGTTTCGAGGATCTTCGTGAAATTGGTCATGGCTCATTCGGAGCTGTTTTCTTCGTATGTTCTTTTTCCTTTTTTGTTTGTTTGGTAATTTTTGGAAATAGACATGTTTGTTTGGTAATTTTTGGAAATAGACACGTAATATTGTACTTTATGATATCTCAACTCCCTTTATATATCAAGCGGTCTGGTAAGTTTTTCCTTCGTTAATTGTTTTGCTTATTTGCTTGAGGGGATTTTTTCCAAAAGTCCTTTCCCTATCCTTTTCTTTTTGAAAAAAGAGACTTCATAGTGAAAATTTTCATAAAGGAAGAGGGACTTCTCCACTTAACTTTTTATTTTAGAATGCATTTATTTTGTGTGGAAATTCTGTATAAAATCTGATATTTGGTGGAATTTTTTAGTAAAAGTTTCTTACTCTCAGTTGAGTTTTTTTTTTTTTTTTTTTTTTTTTTATGGAGGCTCAAAAAATTAAAGAAAGTGATTTTTCTATCATTTGATCTTGTTGGATGACATTTTATGATTAATGATTCTTATGCTGAATCCATGTCAAATTACAGAAATTTTAAAGTAGGTTTCCTGTGAAGGGTTTTGATTAATAGTCGAAGTTTTAGGCCCAGGATTTGGAAACGAATACAACGGTTGCAATTAAGAAAATGGCTTTTTCTGGCAAACAATCGGCTGAAAAGTGGTCTGATATCATCAAAGAAGTGTCCTTCCTGAAAAATATAAAACATGAAAATATCGTTGAATATAGAGCATGCTACCTAAAGGAACATACTTGTTGGGTAAATTTTATGAATTTCGAGAGTTTGTATATTCTTAAATTGACCTGTATATAAGCTGAAACGTAGGCAAAATTGCAAAATAGTAAAGCGGTTGCAAAATTTATTTTTGATTTACAATTCTTAAAATTATTATTGTCGTCTTATTGTTTTTTATATTTATTTTAAGCAAAATTAATAAGAATTTACTGACAATTTTTGCATTTCTGTTAATTAACAAATGATGAGAATTATTTCAGCTTGTGATGGAATATTGCATTGGTTCCGCAGCAGATATAGTTGAAGTACATCGTAGTCCAATACGGGAATGTGAAATTGCTGCTGTTATTGAACAGACTCTTTTTGGGCTCTCTTATCTGCATAAATTAGGACGTATACATCGAGATGTCAAGGCCGGGAATATTCTTTTAACTGATAATGGTGTCGTTAAACTTGGTGAGTTAAACCTGTACTTATAAATTTGTTATTTACGGTAAATTTGAAAGTGATGTTTGTTATAAAATACCTTCTTTTTAGTTTTTTTTTTTATCAGCTTTTATTTAAATATGCTTTCAATGGTATTTGCATTCGATGGAGATAAAAATGACTTTGATATTTGAATTAATGGATTATAGCTGACTTCGGGAGTGCTTCCACTTTATGTCCTGCTCAGAGTTTTGTCGGTACGCCGTACTGGATGGCTCCTGAAGTTATTCTGGCGATGGATGAAGGTCATTATGACCAGAGCGCAGATATTTGGTCTCTTGGAATCACTTGTATCGAATTAGGTTATTTCTTCGTTTCTATATAATTTAGTTTTTGAAAAAAATACATTTAGCTTCATATTTGTTAGTATAAAATAAATGAATGTTTATTAATTTTTTGTAAATGTTATGTTATAATTAACGGTTAATTAGGTATGTTATAATTCCAGCAGAAAGACGTCCACCTCTTTTCAACATGAATGCTATGTCCGCACTGTATCATATTGCTCAGAATGATCCCCCAAAGCTTTCACATAGCGAGAATTCTTCTTCATCGTGGTCTGCGGACTTCCACTCATTCGTTGATCTTTGCTTACGTAAAGATCCACGAGAGCGAATGAAGACGAGTCCTTGTCAACAGGTAAGTTGTTTATTTCCATATGCAGTGAATATGAGCATAAATTAGTGCTAAAGAAAGGAAGGGAATATGTGAGTTTTACTCCCTGCATTTCCTTGAAAGGACTAACAGAATTACCTGAACTTCTTGCAGCATCCATTTATTGTGAATGGACGTTTGGATGGTGTAATTTTGGAATTGATTACAAGAACAAAGGCACTAGTCAGTGACCTGGACAATTTCCAGTATAGGAAAATGAGAAAATTAGTTTATCTTGACGAGCAACAAAGTATTGTGACCGACGATGTGATGACAACGGACCGGCATGATGTGGTATCTCTGCTTTATTTTTCTATCAGTTGTCAGATTTATTTTAATTTTCACTTCTCGTCTTATGCTTCTCGATATTTTTTTTTTTTTTTTTTTGTTATCTTGTCAATATTGTTAAAGTTGTGGATGCTCGATTTTCTTTCCGGTCGCAAGACTGTGTCTGCTATTATCTAGATGCTTTTAAGATAAGTCATCTCGTAATGCATTAAGATGAAAATTACGCTGTAGTAAAAGAGAGAAGTTATAAAAGATAGGGAATCGCAATGGTTTATATGAGACGAAAGAAATTGATATGGTATGCTAGAATGGATCACAAGATTGTGATAAGGTGTTTAAGTGATTACTAGATTTACCAAATTTTTTTCGAATAAGAAACTTATTGAATATGAAATAACGTTGCATTTTTCAGACAGTTCTCGAACTGATATTGTAATGGTTTTGCAGGACGAAGAATTATCAGGAATAGGGGGCTCAGCAAGCTCTCGGTCGAATTCGATTTCTTCATTCCAGTCGTATCATTCAAATGCTCCTATTTCCGACAGTCATCATGGAGATAGTGGCAAGGCCATTACTTCACGACCTCTTATTCCTCTTCGTGTTCTTTCTTCAATTAGCTCTGATATCAGCAGTATCAATGAAGATTTCGATAACATTGACAAGGTATATAAAATCATTTTTTTTCATATGTTGGAAAACGATGTGATTTTGTCTTTGATTTTTAAAATTATAAGGAAGCAAGCGAGATACATTTCAGATACCGGAATTATAACTAGAACTATACGCTATTGCTTCCGATTTTCAATTTATTTTGTAGTTGCCGAAACTGAAAACTTGTGATTTTCTTCTAGGCTTTTACTTTTTTATCTTAAGTTAGTAGTTCCGAGGTTTCAGAATCGGACGATAATTCATGTTGGTGATGGAGGAAGCCACTGTATGCATTCAATGCATGAATCATCTCTTGTTGAAGAAACTTCCTCAGGAATACCAACATCTACCTTAGCGTCAGATGAAATTAGGCCGATAAATGTATGCTCTCATTACTTTCGTTTATTTGCAACTTTAATCATGAAATGCATTTTTATCCAAACTAGATTTTTGTGTGAATGTATGTGTGCAATTTTTTAGGAGGAAATGGCAACTCTTCGACGATCGAAGTTTTCAACATTGCGAACAACGAAACTGATTTCAAAGGAGCTAGAAGAATATAACAGGGAGAATAATATATACGAACAAATGAGTGGTTACAAACGTTTGCGTCAACAACATCAGAAGGAATTGAAGCAGGTCAGTTTTGATTTAGCGGAGCAGTGGTACAGAAACACGAAAAGAGTCATGATGTATTTTTTTCTAGAAGTTCTTTACAAATATATGGTATTGATAACATTTTGGTAAATCGAACAGAGAAATCTAGTTTACTATTTTTTGCATTTAAAAGTCTTCTCTTTTTAGCTCGAAGAGAAATGTGCAATGGAAATGGAGTCGTTTAAACAAAAAGCTGATAAAGAATATGAAAATCTTTTAAATACTTTTAGCAAAGAACTTCAGCGCCTACGTAGCAATCAAAATGCTGAAAAAGATAAAAAAGTAGATTTTTTATTTAAGTTCTATTCAGAATTCCCGTATTTTTCTCTTTAAATGTGAAATAAATCTTAATCTTATTAATACTGATCCCTTAATATAAATGCCAGAATTTCAAAGTGCACGAAATTTGCAAGTGACATATCATTTACTTTATGAATAAAGTTCAATTAATTTTATTGTTCTCTTCTCCAACTTAAATTTAGTGCTGCTTATCAAACTTTTTCCTTTTCAGCTTCGTGAATATGATGAAACGGAACGTAGATTACGGCGTCAGTTAAATTCACAACACGAAAACGAGCTAAAAGCATTCTCTAACGCTCAGAAGAAGGAATATAAGCACAATAAGGAAAGGGCAAAAATGGTAAATTTTCTCATATTTGTTACTGAGAAATAATATTCGCAGTGCATATTTGTAATGTTGCTACAAATTTAGATTAGCGTTTAGCTTTGCTGAAATTAAATCATAATTCTTGATTTTTTGAGGAATTAAAAGAACGCTATGGCATGCGTTCTGCATATGAAAGTGCATTGAAGGAGACGAAAGCTGTTTTGAATGCACGGCGTACTGATGCGGAAGCGATATTTTCTCGTGAACAGAAAATAACGATGGAAAATGAAATTCGAAGACTGAAGGGAATTCGTATGGTTGAGATGCATACTTTGATCGAAAAACTGGCCGTAGATGTATGTTTTTTTGTGATTTGATATAAATTCAAGGCGTTATGAGTGTTTCTGTTTGGATAGCTTCAGAACAAGGATGATATGGAATGATATTTGAAAGCGCTAAGATTCTTTCTTTAGTGCAGACGGACTATCATTTGGTAATAAGCAAAGCTTCCTAATTTTTCAGATAGGATGATATGAAAAAAATATATATATATGTATTTCAGGAGTTAAAATTCAAAGGAAAACAACTGGAAACAAGCCATGCTTTGTTAAGAAAACATCATGAACAAACAAAACAACTTGAATTATCACTTTTAATCGAAAGCCAGCGCATGAAGCGGCGGCATCTGGAGAAGCAGCATGAAGCTGAAACTTCAAATCAGTTGCAGTATAATCAGAGAGTTACAGATGAAACTATGAAACGACATGCTTTGCAATCAAAACAACAGCCTAAAGAATTGAAGGTTTTGTTGTAGCCTGATTAATCCAGTGAAACTCATCATAATTTTTTGCTTTTTTCTTGTTGACTGTTGAAACGTTATGGTCTTTCATTTTATTTTTATTTTTTGGATAGGAAGTGAAGTAGATGGTGCGTTTCACATCTCTTAGTGCAACACTTTTAATGAAATAAAATTTGAAATAGAAATTTTTCTAATGAAATAAAAAGGTTCTCTTCTTTCGAAACAGTTTTATTACTTTTCTAATTTGCCTCTTGCTTTTTTCTTTTAATCTATCTCTTGTAGGCAAAAGAGTTACAAATAAGAAAGCAATATCGACAGGCAGTGAAAACGCAGTTGAGGCAAAGCAAGTTATTACAAGCTCAAGTACGCTTTCCGGATTTTTTTTTTTTTTTTTTTTTGTGATCTTTCGATGTTGAATTGAAGTTTTCATTTTTTCTTATTTTCCTGTTTTGGCTTCTAATTTTGATTTCGAAGGGATTTCCAGGTTTTGAGCTGCACACCAAAGGAAGAACATAGGGAAATGATAGTAAAGTTGAAGGAAGAGCAAAAGAGAAAATTAGCAACATTAGCTGGGCAGTATGAAAGCACCATCGAAAGTTTGCTACGGGATTTGACCGTAAAATTGGAGTCTTGGCAGGTAATATTCGATGTTTTTATCTATATTATTGATTCCGTACTTGATTTGATAGTTATCTCTTGTTCTTGCTTAATTTTATATATTTTTTTAAGCCTAGCAGTCATTACGATCAAGCTTCATGTAATGTAAAACTTTTTTTATTTGAATTCAAGAAATAAGTTATTATCTTTTTCTGTTTAAATACTTTACTTGTTACCTAGCGCTTCATAAAAATTTCCTTGCGCATTGATTAGCATCCAGGTTGTTTCCTTTCCTTCTGCGATTTTGTTACAGTTCCGTTGAAATATACATTGCTTTGTTTAGGAAGATGAATTGAAAGCTTTGAAAGAGAAACTTGAAAAGGAAATGGATATGCTCAAAGACTTCCAAAGTCGACAGAAAAGTTGTCTTGAAGAGAATTGTAAAAGGGAAGAACAGAAACTGGCGGAACGCACTTCAATAAGAAAAGCGGTCATCGAGAAAAAAGTATACCTTACTTATTGTTTAATAATGTAAATATCATTTAAATACGTTTTTGTGGAAAAAATTTAACCGCTTAGAACATTTTACATTTTGCTATTTGCATTCATGATGACCATATTACAAACTGAATCAAAGAAGGATCTACACTATTTTTGACTTTTGAATTATACTGCTGAAAGTCTTTATGATGATTGGTACTTTCGAAGCTATCATTGATCATTGAAATTATCACTGAAGTCAATCATTTAGGTAGTTTGTGTATGTGATATAAAGACACGAAGAGAAATAAGACATAGATTAGGAAAAGTGAATAGGATTCTGTCGTACTTTCAAGCTTTTTTCATTATCCATCCATTTAGATGGAAGAAGAGAGGGCATCTTTGGAAACTGAGCGCCAGAAAATTCTAAAAACGATAGAGGAGAAGCATCGCATTGAAAAATCAACATTTTTTGATGATGAACAAAGGGCGCTAAATGAACATACGCAGCAGATATCCTTATCGACTTCTCAATTTAGTTCGCAGGACACCTTATGCTCAATTTCTTCAAATCTTCATTCGTTAGCTACAAATTCTTAGGGTAACTTATTTTTATGAATCGTTTTAATATACGGCTTTCATAATGAACATATGTTTAAGCTTTCTTCTATTTTAAAGGATTATTCTGTCGTTTCCATTCTTCGGTGTATTACTGTAAACATTTAGAGACTTTAGCGCTGTGATTCCAGAATCATATATATGAGAGTAGATGAAAGAAAATAGGAAATAGCGTTCCTTCTAGTTGTCCGTATATTGACTGAGTGTTATCAAATTATTCTTCTTTCTTGAATTCAAGTTGTATTCAAGCGAATTCAGTAAACTGTTTTCCAACAGTTTTGATTTGGATATCTGATATCCTAAGTTATCTTTACTTTTCTTTTCACTACATGTCGTCCAGAACTTTTAGTTACTAATTTAAAATCTGTTACATTGAATTAAATTTACATTCAGCTTGACAACAATGTAAATTGATGGGAAATTTTAATGTTGTGGAATTTCTAAGATCTCATATTATTACCTACCTCCTGTTGCTAATGTGCTATGGCTCGCGAGTGGTTTAGGATTGGTGGTGGTTCGTGACCATTTTGTCAATTTTTTCCAAATTTATAAAAATTTGGCAGGTATGGATGAAATCACTTAATTTGTCAGTCATGTCCGAAGTTCTGCTACTGAAATAAATGTTTTGGCCTTGACCTTATCTTTTAACCTTCCGTGTGTCCTTGGATTGTTCAGTTGATTAATCCTGAATTCCAATTGCTAGAGATGCAATTGCAACCAATTGCAGATAATTGGTATCACTGGTGAAATATCTCTTTAAATCGTAACTAATGCTTCAGTTGCGGGCTCCAGACGTTTGCTTTGTATATTTTGATTTATATTTAACTGAACTGACAAATTCAATTTGACCATATCCGAGATGCTTTCAAACCCGCAAACGTATCTAGAAATCCTCATCATGTCATTATTAGCTCCTAGATCGTTTTACATAAGCGCTGTAAATTGTGCTTAAATATTTGAAGTTAGATTTGACTGGTAGTTATCAGATTTTATAATACATATATCAGATTTTCTTGCCAAGACGCTAAAATATCCTTACTAATCTACTGCTGCTTATGCTTTTTTTATTTCTTCGACTGAAATATGTATGATCATATGGTAGGAACCGGTGCACCTTTTAAAAAAATGTATTATATGTGCGTGCCTTATATATTTATTAGTGTGCCACAAGATATTATTATTATTAGCATAGCTGTTATTATTTATTATGATATTTATTATTACTAATTATAATTATTACTGTTTGTTATTTATTTTCGTCATTATTGTTATTATCACTTTTACTATTATTATTATGATTTAATACGTCAGCTGCATAGCACCATGAATATTTCGATGTCCATTTTTTGTACTTCGGGTTTCGTCTTTAACTCTAAAAAGTCGTATGCGTGAGTTTCAGTTGAAGAAATGAAGGTAAATCGGACAAAAAATAAGAAAAAATCGATTTGTTATGATCACTTTTGCTTGATTGTGCTTGACTGCATTTAAGTAAGCTACGGTGACCTTTTTTATGAATTGTTCTTTATTTTTTCTTTCCGTGTTTTTTTTTTCGATTTATGCTTTAGCTTAAATTCTATTTGTAATTATTAAATTTCCGTTTTCCTTTTTTTTGATACACTTCGCCTGTACAGTATCATTTTCCTTTTCTAAGTGAACAAATTTGTGTGTCAAAATTTTATAATATGTATACATATCAGTTCTCCTCACCTCTGTCCGTTACTGTACTGCTCTTTTTCACCGGAATATCAAAAATTTCTGAAATATACTAGAATTTTTTTTCCTTTGCTTATTGTTTTTATTGATAGTTCTGGTTTGTACATGCTCACCGTCATTCCAACACATTAATAAAATTCATACATTAATTTTTTTTCCCTTGGCTTGCAATAATACCAAGAAAAAAATTGATTAAAAATTCATCCAGTAATATGAGTCGAGTAAGTTTTTAAATTTAATCATAATTGTGACATATCACTGGTTTTTTCAGTTACGGTGGTAATCTTAGCTTTGGTAATTTCTCTTCTCTAATCTTCATTAATTTTGATTTCTTGTGTAATCATTCAAAATTTTTAATGTTAGTAGGAAGAGAAAAGTAGGGAAATGGTTGTTGTTGTTGTGATTGTTGCTGAAATAATTTTTAATGACTATATGTAATTAATTGATCGACAAATATTTCGCATACGATTTTATTGCTTTCCATCAAATGCAAACGCATTTGATGGAAAGCAACTTTACAAAATTATATAAGAACCACATGATGGCGCCAATAAGGCTCCCCTCTGCATATTAATAAACGAAAGATTAAATCTACGTATGCTAGACCTAAACTTAGTAAAGTCATAAAAGTAACTTGAAACGAAAATATTGAAGTAACTTTATTGATTTATTCATGTCAGCATTTAATAAGAGAATGTGCTTGACTTCTGTCTTATTTTAGCTTATTCTGTCTTATTTCCTGTTGCTTTTTGAAGGATTAAAGATGCTAATAAGTGAAAGAGCAGTATTTGAAGGATTAAATTTTAAAGGTTATTTTATAGTGGTATTTTAGATTGGAGTTGCAAGCAAAAGGATTTATTTTTATCTTAAAAATCAATGCATTTCATAAGATAGTCCAATGTTATACTACAAATACTAATATCAAGGTCAAAGGTTTGCTAAAGAAAAACTTAATGGAGGAAAAATTCATTTGAAAATTTTAGAAATGCAAAACAAAAAAATTTTAATTAAATTTTCTGTCGACACTTTAAAACTCAATTTCAAAAAATTTATTTCAAAAAATTTTCATTTCTACGAAATAATCAGTCTGATCTATTCTATTTCTAAAAAACAAAAAATAAAATTTTAAATTGGAGAGAAAAAATGATAATTTACCAATTTTGAAAAACTCCTATCAAATCGAACAATTTAAGTATTTTGAAATGGTCAAGTAACCATTACTTATCTACAGCCAATGATTTTTAATAAACAGGAATTAATAATTCATATACATGTAAAAAATTGCCAGAAACTTCATTCATACTTGAAATCACTAAAAAACGAATCACTTACGCTATTTTTACGTTATCACATTAAGGCTGTCATTTAAAAATGATAAAGCAAAAAACAGCTTTTAAAAAAACTTAAGTTTTTAATAAACATTTAGCAACAAATCCAATTCAAAAACAAAGTTTAAGGAACATTTACTACTATTTAAGTATGGAAATCCTCCCTTCTAATCTAATTATATCAATGGTACACAATTATTCAATTATTTCAAATTGCAAATAGTTCATCTCTCTCTCTCTCTCTGCTATTTCTATTAATGCACTGATATTAGTTTATGTCCAATTAGCATCATTTTAATTAATGAGAAATTTTGCAATAACTTACATTCTGCAGTAAATTTGCAATTTGAAGCAGTTTGCATTAAACAGCAAACTTCTAGTGATATTCGAATAAATTTTGTTTATACAAATGATTGCAATTACTTAGCCAAATATGGCCAAGTTATCCCTTCAATCATTTATATTTAATTTGATTTAATCACTCACATCTATCAACAATTTATTCCACTAAACAAAAATTAAACATTTAAAAGAAAAAGAAAAAGGAAAAATGAATGATAGTTGATGACAATATCGTTGTACCTATCGTATCATTTTTAATTATCATCGGTTGATGATTGAGAGAAAAAGAAAAAAATGCATAAAATTGTTTTCTTTTTAGGAAAAAAAAATTTTCTTATGATGAAATAGTAGTAAGCATTGTATGGTTTAGTTCTTTTTCACTATAAAAGAATTAATTAAGAGATAAGAAGAGAGAGAGAGGAGAGAGAGAGAGAGAGAGAGCGATGATGTTGATAATTTAGTAGTTTCAGTGTGGAAATCATAAAACTGCAACCAATCAATGAACAATAAAAGGAGGATATGAGTGAGAGCATTTCTACGAAAATAATTCATTGATCAATGAGTGATTGTTCAATAAAACTGATTGAACTCTAAATTGAACTAAATTCAAACTGTAATTTGTTAATTGAACTGTCTTCAATTTATTTGTTCACATTTTTCTTCTTTCTCTAGCTTTTCTCTCTCTCTCTCTCTCTTTTTCTCCCTCTTCCTCATTCTTTCCTCTCTGATTTCATCAAATGGAAATAGTCATTTATGATGGGTTAGTTGATTATCCAACGTTAATTTAAAACCGATGAAATTTTTGTAGAAAATGTTTATTGGACGAAACATTAAATTTGCCATTTACTTCTTTTTCCTTCTTTCCAATTTCTATTTTTCGTTTTATATCATTTATGTATTCTAATTCTATTCCATTTTATTTATTCTATTCTATTCCATTTTATTTATTCTATTCTATTCTATTCCATTTTATTTATTCTATTCTATTCCATTTTATTTATTCTATTCTATTCCATTTTATTTATTCTATTCTATTCCATTTTATTTATTCTATTCTATTCCATTTTATTTATTCTATTCTATCGCATTATATTATATTACATTATATTATATTCTACTAATGATTTTATGATAAATTCTAATAAATTGCATTAAATTTATTATTTATCTTTTTCTTCTTCCTTCTTTTCCACTACCATTTTCATTCCATACCATATACACATTTTAATTTTTTCTTATTCTATTCTAATTCTGTCCTATTCTATCCCATTCTATCATTTTGTTTTTCATTAGCATTGTAATAAATTCCAAAAATTTCATTCAATATCATTTCATCTTATTAATATTTATTTTCTTCTGAAAACAAACGAATGCAACCTTTCTCGAGAAGAACATTTCACAAATTTGAAATCGGTTAATTATCACTTTTTTCTTCATTATAAAACCACAAATTCAATTAAATAGCTTGATGAGAGGTTTTCAAATAAGGTAGATTTACGTAAAATATATGAAAGTTTCCATATTTTGTTTATTTGTTTAATAGAAACATAAACGATGTAAAAATTTCATTATTTTAAAAGAGTAAGAAGTATTTTATAT